GTTAGGTTTATTCCTAGGTTTCTCATTATTTTTGGTGCAATTGTAAATGAGATTGATTCCTTAATTTCTCTTTGCAGTGATGTAATCTGTTAAAACCTAATTCTGATTGTCATTTTGTGCCTTAAAATCTTGTCTGTGCCCATAGTATTAAATTAAATTCTTAGTATTAAATTCTTTCTGAAATGCAAAAGTAATTTTGTTATTTTCTGGCTTAATATTTACCAATGAAGTGCCATCATTATTATAATAAAATGCCAATGTTTGTTACTAATTTTAAAATCACTTATTATTTGGTCAACATTGTTGCCTTAGCACATAATGTTATTTTGGTCTGGGATTTCCACTTCGTAGCTTACTACATTCAGCTTATCTTTCAAGATCTAGGTGAAATGTCCCCTCCTTCTGAGGATCCCACAGTTTTATTAAAGGGTTCCTGTTATATACTCCCGTAGGACCTGCACACACCTGTGGAGTTAATTCATTCCTTCATCAAAGGTTTACTGAATGTCTACTAAGCACAAGACACTTGAGAAGTAAATTGAACAAAATATTTTGACCTTCAAAGTGAAACTTTCACATAGTTAGAATTAATAGGTAAAAATCTTTGTTCTCATGCAACTCATATTCTTGGGAAAAAAAGCAACAAGAGGCAAAATGAATAAGTAAAACATATGTTTTGTTAAATGGTGATAAATGTTACAGGAAACAATAAAGCAAGGAAGGGAGTCCTGAAGTGAGAGGAAAGACTTCTCAGAAACAGGAGGTATTGGGACAAGTATCTAAAAGAGGAGGGGATAAGTCATGGAGATACCCAAGGGAAAACTCAAAGCCTTAACAGAGGAATCTCTGGTGTGTTTGAGGAATGGCAAGGAAGCTGGTGTATGAGTTGAGTAAGGTTAATGTGGAAGAAAGTAGTAGGAAATGAGGCCAGAGAGGTTAAGGAGACTAGATTTTTATAGGGATTTTGGGACCCTTAGAGAAACCTGGGCTTTTTCTCTGAATGAGATGGCAGGTCACTGGAAGAGGAAAAACAGAAGAGTGATATGATTTGATGTTCATTTGAAAGGAACATTTTGGTTGCTGTTTAGAGAACTGACTGAAGGGAGAAGGAATGAGACATCAGTAGAGAGCCAAAGGATTTAATAACCAATTGAATGTGGAATGTAAGAGAAAGAAGGAAAGAAGGATAAGGTTGAGGAATTGGCCTTGGGCAGCTGGATGGAAAGAATTTAAAGGGAACATATGTGTGTCTGTGAGAGAGAGAGAGGGAGAGAGAATAGAAGAGAAGAGGAGAGGAGAGGAGAGGAGATCTGGTATCTGGTTTCAAACATGTTAAGCTTGAGATGCCTTTTAGATATCCAAGTGCAGATATCCAATGGGCAGCTAGATTAATGAGTCTGGAAGTTGGAAATAGGTCTTCAGCATCTAATATTTGTAATCACGAGACTAAATGTTACCACCAAGATAACAAACATAGACAGGAAAGTGAAGATGTCTATGGATTGATACCTGGGACCCTCCAAAATTAAGTGATGAAAGGGATGAGGATGAGGAAGAGTCATTGAGGAGACTGAGAAGGAGTGGTTAATGAGATAGAAGAAAAAGTAAGATGGAAGCCAAGGGAAGAAAATGGTTCAAGGAGGGGAAATAGTGGTTCAAGGAGGGTGAAGCATGTTAAAGACTAGGATTTGACTGTTGGATTTGGCAGCCTGGGGCCATTAGTGATCTCAGTGAGAGCACTTTTGGGATATAGTAGGGATGAACATTGTTGGTATATAATGGGGATGAAAGCCCTATTGCAGTGAGTTCAAGAAGGATTAGAAGCAGGCAGTATAAATAGACAACCATCTTACTTACTATCTCATGGTGTAAGGGCTATTTTCATTCTGAAAAGTGTTTTAGTTTGGATTTTAACTTATATGTTCATACTAACTATATGGAAAACTCAAAGGCATTGCTGGAAACCATAGCTGGAGAAACTGTGCTCAAGAAAAATTTTTTGTTTGAAAACATAAGAAACAATACAGAGTACATGCTAATGAAAATTATCCAGTTTGGAGGCATAAATTGGTGATGTAGGAGATAAAGGAGAGAAGTTTGGGCATGATGTTCCAAAAGGCAAGAAGAGATAGAGTGTGTGGGGGTGGGGGCTTGGCCTCATGTAGGAGCTTAGTCAGTTAATTCTTTGTAATGGGGAAAGGCAGAGTATACTGTTAAATTGCTCACATATTTTTGTTGTGGATTTGTTTGTTTTCCACATACTATGAACCTCTTAAGAGTAGTAGGTGTAAATGTCTCATTCATTTTGTGGTAGGAATTTGTATTGTTCTATTTCTATCCCTGGCACACAGAGCAATGTATACAATGCCTGGTACACAGAAGGCATGCAATAAATGTTTGAATGGAGCAAATAAAATCACTGTGCTAAGCTGTGTATGTTTTATCTTCTCATGCAGATTGGATTATTTCCATCAAATCTTGACAAACAGATTGATTTAATTGTTTCTCTTGTCTGGGCCTACATCTAGGTTGGCCAACTGGTAGAGTTGATTGATGGGAATGGCTGTGTTTCTACTAAAATCAATGATGCTTTGTAGGAATAAAATCAGCAACCTTTTGCTGTATCATTTTACAGTGGTCCTGGTTATAGTTTCAATATGAATTTACTATTTACTTCACCTTTGAGCCTTCTGAAAGCTATCCATTCTTCCTCAGAATACATTTGTTATTTTAGTTTACCATTAATATGGCATATATCATTATTTGTTATCATCTAACTTAAACTTACTGAGTCCATGGGAAACTCTTTGAGAATGGGGACTACACCTTCATTGCTTTTTTTCCCCTCAAAATCATTTGTACAGTCTCTGGTTAGAAAACATGGCTTCATCACTAAATCAAAAATCCTTAGTCTAGGCCCTGGTGCAAGTTAGATGCCAAATAAATATTTGTTGAGTGAATGACTACATTATGTAGTAATGTAAATGATTATTGTCTGTGGTATATGCTGATGATGCCAGGACCAGATTTCCTTTCCTGTTTGATGTGCCTACCTGCCAGCTTTTCATTACTTTGCTCCTAGTAGCTCACACCTAAAATCTTTTTCCAGAGGGCCGTCTTTGGGCCACTGGAGCTACATCACCTAGATGCTCCAAGAACAAGAAGTCCTTGGGATTTTAGGCCTTGCCCTTAGTAACCAGTATCCAATGACTGAGATACAAAGTATGGAGGTTTAGCTCTCATGCCTCAATGCAGTGCAAACTTGCAAGTGCAGTTTATACTCTAGAGCTCCCTGTGGGATCAGGCTAAGGCCAGGACTTTGCCTGAAATTGCATGCAACCTTCCTTGACTTCTTAGCCTTCCTTATCTTGCTTGCCTTGCTCTCTTGTAGGTTTCTCCGAAGAACACTTTCTTAGTGACTCACTTGTATGCTCACCCTTTCCTTAGGGTTTGCTTCTTGGGAACTTTACTTAATACAGTGCCTATTTATAATCAGTTAATGTCAGGGTCAGGGAATCATGTCCACATTCTCTCTGAGTGTTAAGTTCTGCTGTTGCAGCTGGTAGTTCCTGATAGTTTTTGGTTTTATATTACTGCCAACTAAAAGTGAAGGTGACTGTGAACTAAATTTGATATTTGATTTGGTTGTTGGGTAGGAAGTACCTTCACTATTTCAGTAAATAATTGTTATTGAATTTAGTAAATATCTTATTGAGTTACGGTTCTTTCTAACATCAAGTCAGAATGCATTTTTCTTAACTTTCTACTCTTTGTGTTTGTATACGTCGCTGTTCTCTCTCCTTAAGCAAGGATAACAGAATTAATTGTATAATCAATTTTCATATGATTGAGTACAGCTTTCCTTCGTCTTCCTGTTGAATATAAATACCCATTTCCACATACTGAGTAAACCATTTATTTTATTTTTGTAGTGATTTGAAAAGAACACAAACTCCTTTATCTGTAAAATGGGATTGGAAATAATGTGTTTTAGAACTTAAAAGCACTTTAGTCAACACCTTCATTTTATAAGTGAGAACATTTGAAGCCCAAAGAGGTTAAGTAATTTGTTCAATGTCACCCAGCTTGCTTAGTGGCATAGCAGGACTAACGCCCAACTCCCTGACTGCTATGTTCTTCACTGCTCTACAAAATGCTTATTTCTTATTCACAGAATTGATATGAGGATTAGGGGCCACATCTGTGAAAAATAGATTTAGCCTTTAGGAAGAAAGATGCTGGATAGCTTTATGAAATCTTCATGTAAACTAATCTCATTTTAACCTTTTCTGTACAATTGTTAGTTTTGTTCAGTTTGTGTTATTTGCCTCAGGCTTCTTTTTGGCCAAGGACTAGATAATATACAAGGCTTGATTTAAAAATCAATATTAAGTATCCAAGTTGTATTAGAAATATGAAATACTTCAGCTGGTTTTGAAGCTGGGAGCAGTTGTAGCCAGACTTCCAGAATGGCAGTCATTTATGTACAGAAAAAGTTTGCTATTCCTACTTTGCATATTGGGAATTAGGACATTTGGTTCCAAAGAAAAGAAGGAAGCATAAATTATATTTTGTTCAGTCTAGTAATACTTCCAAAGCTGATGCAATGTGCCTTTAACAAACCATGAATTTTCTCTCCTGTGGAGCCACCATATCCTGCCTACTTAGAGCATAGTTAGGGAACCATTATACTAATCCACTGTACCTTCATATCTTTAGCAAGCACATGTAAGTGATAACTTGAATATTTACTTTGATGCAAGGTGTATAAATCTTCTCTATGTCATCTTGTAAAGTGAGGAAATTGTGACTTGCTCAACTTGGTTACTTTAATTGTTCAAGTTTGGTTCTTTCCACCACAGCATGCTTTGATATATGAATAGGAATACTGTTTAATTTTTGTAGTATTCACAGTGATTTGTGTAGATTCATAATATGCAGGGAAGATAAAATTTGAATACCAAAAGGCTAAAGTAACTTTTATATATATTTTTAATTAGGTACGATTATATGCAAGACCCGATGCTATCAGAAGAGGATCTGGGGACTATGCTCTCCATATAACAAAGAGATTAATAGAATTTTATGAAGACTACTTTAAAGTGCCCTATTCCTTGCCAAAACTAGGTAAGTATTTTCTTGATTATTTTACTGGAAGGGATCCTTGAAGGTAGAAATTTGTCTTCATGCATTTATTTGACACATGAAATTTCCAAGAATTATATTTTTAGAGAAGATGAACATGAAAAATAATTTCTTCTGAAGAGATAAAATAAAACTTAAGCTTCTTAAATCTTGCCAAGAATTCCTCGTAGGAATTAAGAAAGGCATTAGGTAAGTTTAGGTTTCCAAAAGATAACTCAGGTAGCTATAATTCATTGAGTATGTGCTCTGGAGGGGTGCTTGCTAACATCTCATTTAATCCTCAAGTACTAGATGGATAGGTACTGTTAGAACATTTTCCACTCGAGGGACTTGATATCCAGGGAATCTTTCTTTCATTCAGATAGCCAGTAAGTGGTGGAGCTGGGATTTCAAGCGAAGTCTTGATGACTCCCAGAACTCTTTCATGCTTTTCACTGAGAAGACACTCATTATTTTCTCTTTCCTAATTCTCAGATCTTGGACCACAATGTATTAATTATACCCTCACATTTATTTTTGTGTGGTCATATTTCAGTACAATTGTAGCAAGTAGAATAAAAACAAAAGAGAAGGGAAATTGTACAATGGAGATTATGTTCATCATGAATACTTTGACTTTTCTTCCTTTTACAAAAGTATGTTCAATAGTTGTTTGTTGAATGAATAAATGAATTTTATTATCCTAATCTGAGTGAAGCTCCTGCTTTTGCAAGGGAGTGAACAATGAATTTCCAGGAAGTTAGAAAGGGTACATGTACCCATTAGAAACACTGAAGTTATTTTTCCTTTTCAGAAAACCCGTTTTGAAATAGTACATCACAGCAGTCTTTTGTTCCTCCTCCCCCCCAACATTTTTCCTTCCCAAGAACATTTTTGATCAGCACACACATAAAAGTGATCGCTCATTGGTGAGAATAAAGTGCTTACCTGATCAAAAGTGTTGGTATTTGAACCACAGGTTCCTCTCTCAGGAGAACTGGGCCTATTTTATTAAAGTAACTGCCTGCTGTGTAGCTTTATTGGTCTTACAATGAGTAGCTTAGAAAGTAGGTAGAATAGTTGATATTGTTACCAAAATGGGTGTGGCATACAATTTTAAGGAATGATATTACAAAATTCTGAGGTCTTTTTGAAATATGTGCTCTTAGAATGCATGCAATTTTATTTCAAATTTCTAAACAAAATTGTATTTCACATAGGATCTATATTTAGTTTAGTTTTGTTCTGTCTTCTTTCCTTCTTTCTCTTTTTCCCCCCTGTATCAACTTCCCTGTTAGAATCTGTTACACTGAAATCTCCCTGGTAGGCACCCAAGGCAGGAAGGACTCTCTGACCTCATTTGCATGGGAGGTGACACTGTTCTCTACTCCAGGTAAAACCAGCTGGGAACTTCCCAGCTTGACCCTAATGTAAAATTCACAAGTGCTTATGTTGCAAGTTCAGCAAGAAAAATAAAATGTGGATCTTTGTCCCCTTCAGACCAGTAATTAGTAGAGGAACTCAATTTATAACTTCAGGGGGTTCGATGTAACTGTCAGCTTGCAGCAGGAAGCATTTCTGTTCCTCTCTTTCACTCACAATTGAAACATGCAGGCTTTCACCTGGTAGAAAAGAGCTTTGTTCACTGTTACTATTACTATTTAAGCTCCTTACGGTGTATATAATTGAATGATTTGACTTACCCCAGCACACTCCTTTGTAGGTAACTAGGGGAATTACCACAGCCCATGGCACTTTATAAAATTCCTTTTAAAGTTCTACTTATTTTATGTATCTATAGATATTTAGTTCTACATATTAATGGATTTATGAGTATGTTTTCTAAATACTCCCTACATAAAATTCCTAAACACAGAAGCATTTTGACAAATCCTTAGTTTCTGTTATATGTAATGATTAAATAGGTTCAGTGGAAACCAATCAGTCTTTGTTAAAGGTGCTTTTATGTGTATCCTAGATGTCAGCTGCATCTGCCTTGAAGCCTTCAAATCTACCTAGAATGGTTTCCAAGACCTAGTCTACCCTCTCTTCCTCCCCCCTTTTATCTTTCCTTCCATTCCTCCTTTCTTCTTTCCCTTCCTCCTTTCTTCCTTCCCTCATTTATTTAATATGCACTATTGAGTGCCCCCACCATGGGCACTTTTCTGTGTGATGGGGTTACAACAGTGAATAAAAAAGGCAAGAATCCCTTTCCTTCTGGGGCTTATGTTCTGTTAGGTAGAGACAGACATTCAAGCAATTATTAACACATGTAGTATATCAAATGGAGATAAAGTGCAATTACAAATAAAGCTAGAATAGAGATATAAGAAATGTGGGGGGGGCAGGTGAGGCAGGGGAATGGAGCTGAAGTTTTAAAATGAGTGAATACAGAAGGCTTCATTTGGAAGCCAACTTTTGAGCAAAGAACCCAAGGCAGTGAAGGAGCAAGCCAAATGGAGATCGTGGGACAAGGATATAGGTATATAGGCAAAGGTAACAAAGTACCCAGACTTGGAAATGGAAACTTGGTATATTTGAGGAACACAAGGAGGCAAGTAGGCAAGTAGAACAGGGGGAATAAATGGGTGAGAAAGGAGATGAGGTCTAGGAAGGAGTAAAGGGGTGGGTAATCTATCATGTAGAGTCAGCAGGCCATGGTAAGGGCTCTGGCTTTTTTTTTTTTTTTCCCTTTTCTTTCTTTCTTTCTTTCTTTCTTTCTTTCTTTCTTTCTTTCTTCCTTTCTTTTTTTCTTTCTTTCTTTCTTTTTTCCTTTTCCTTTTCCTTTTCCCTTTTTTTCTTTTTTTCCCCCTGGGTGAGATGGAATGCTATTGGTCACTTTTGAGCTCAGCCTTTACAACAAGACTAGCTCCCAGTGTCAGTAGTGCTGAGGTTGAGAGATCCTGATGAAGGGGAAAGGCCAGAGCAAGAAAAACATTTAAGAGGCTCCAGCAAAATTCAGGCAAAATATATTTGATGGTTGCTTAGATTAAGATGTTAACAGTGAGGTGGTTGGAAATGGTCCAATTCTTGATATATATTTCAAACAGAGACAAAAATATTTGCCAATGAACAGAATGAGGGATGAGAGAGAGGTACCAAGGACAGCTCCAAGTTTTTTGTTTTTGGCTTGAGAATGAGAAAGATGGAATTGCCTTTTACTGAGACAGAATGATTGTGGAAGGAGATGCTTTTTGATACTGATGTGTCTGTTAAACATTTAAGTAGTACCTTGATGTCTGAGAGGAATTCAAATAGATAGTTGAATTTATAGATATGGGGTTTGGGTGAATAATCTGGCTAGAGATATCCATTTGACAGTGTATGATGACATAGAAAGCTATGAGGTTGGATGGGCTTGCCAGGGCTGTGAGAGCAGATAGAAAAGAGAATAGAAATAAGGAGGGACTGATCCAATATTTAGAGGTTAAGGACGTTAAGAGCCAGTAAAGGCTATGGAGAAGGAGCAACTGGTTGATGCACTAAGAAAACAGGTATCCACAGTACTTCTGGGCATCTAGTGAAGAATTTAAAAAATAAGCAGATGGTAAATTGTGGGAAGTCAAGTTGGATGGAGACTGAGAATTGACTATTTACTGAACCTAGCCAGGTGAACCTCATAGGGACCTTGACAAGAGCAGTTTCAGGGCAAAGTCCTGATGAATGTATTCAGGAATAAATGGGGGTGAGACTGGGAGGAGATACAATGACTAGAGTCAGTGAGTTTAGATGATAGATTGGCACTTCTGAAAATTCCCCATGGAGAATATTCCTCTGGGAATAAAGGGGGAAGAGAGAAATATTTGTATTCATTCCATCTAATACTGCTCACCTCTGGATAAGAGGTGTTTCTGTGAACTGGTAGCTTTCAGACCTGTTCCTGTCCCAAACCATGTCAAGGGAGACATGGATATTGCCTTTCTTTGATTTGCATTAGAAAACCAAAAATCAAAACAAGTAAGAAAACTCTCCCGTTAACCTGCTACTACTGATATGTGGGAGGTGATGTGGGAGGAGGACCATGTGTGAATGCTGAGGTGTTATGTTGCAAAACCCAAAATGAAACCACACAAACTCATAAAATGTAATGTTGGGTCTTTCTTTCCTTAAAAGTCACTTTGCTGTTCTGTCATAAATTCTGCAACAGCTTCTCTGTCACTAACTTCTTTTTCATTTCTAATGCTGAATTGTTTAACTTCCTCTACTGTGGCATCATCTCATGCTGGCTCATCTCTAAGGATTTGAGTTTCCGCTCGAAGTGGTTTATCAGAATGGTTCCTAAGAGGAATTCTCATACTTGCTGTTAGGACAGTAATTTATTCTCCTTTTTGCACAAAGACATCCCTTTAATATTTTAAGCCAAAATAGGCAGCCAGTGTATACTGTATGAGAATTCGTTTTTAAAGTCTCTGAATTAGGTAATTAAAACTTATTTGTATGGGGTTTGTAGAGATTTCCTCTTTATTGGTGTTAGGTTATAATGAAAGGTATAGACTCTAGAGGAGACAATACAGGAAGACATTCTATAACTGTGTGCCCTATTTTCCCAAGAATTTTCAGAGGTATGGAAGTTTACTTTAAAACAAACTTATTGTTTTAAGTTTGTATAAAGAATTAAGTTATCTTTCTTCTTATCTCAAAAACATTGACCAGAGCTACAAAAGTGAATGGGTTTGTATTTACACAATATGTGCCACTCTTAAGGACTTTGTACATTCTAACCCATTTACTCTTTTTTTCACAACCTTTTGAGGTAGTACCTGTTACTTTCTCATTTTCCATGTGAGGAAATTCGGGGACTGAGTGACTACATAATGTACTCAGTTCACACAGCAGGAATTAGTGGATTTGTAATTCAAGCCCAGGCTGTCTAGCTCCAGAGCCTTGAGATTCTGCTGAAATGGACCCCAGAAATGTTGAGAATTCTGAGGATTAAATATGGACTCCCTTAATAAGCTAGATAATCTGATTGCTGGAGGAATAATGTAATAGCTATTTTTCTT